CCTGGTCAAGGCAGTCCTCCTTACTTTACATCAATGTTCCGCTCTCGTCTAAAGATCAATGGGAAAATATCTCGGGTGAGGGTTAAAAAATAAAAATAACAATAAATTTAAAACCTTTAAAAGTAAATAAGTAAAGAGATTACTGGCCAAGCAGCTGCTCTGAGCTTTGACTCACCTCTGCACCGCCATCACCCAGACCCCAGGCCAATGGGTCTGAACGAGCGGTGAGGGGACCATCCGGCCCGTCTGCAGAGGAGTCCTCCCCTGAGCAGCCAGCGGAGCGCAATGCCAGTCGCTGCTTGCACACAGTGCCTGTGACTGTGCATATAGATTGCATATTTCCATAAATTGCCTTCGCATAACTCTGCGTCGGCCCGGCGCGCTCCCAGGCTCATGAAACACTTTCGCACGAATTCTCACATCTACATAGAGTTAGACCTGGCGGCACGCCCTTTAGACGCCCAGCGCACGCAGGAACCTCGGTGACAGGTCCAGGTCAGCCCTTCCGACGCATGGACATCAATGCCGTCTCCCGCCTCTTGGCTCCCCGAGCGCTCCTGAGAACGCCCCGTTCACCTGCAGGCAACAGAGGCTGGACCCCAGAAAGTGTCCCCTAAACACCCACGCGCCTCCGCCTCCTGCACCCAGGTCCTCCCCGAGCCTCTGCGGAGCCTGCCTTTGCCACCGCTGCTCCCCGCACCCCGGCCTCCGCACCCCGAGCTCGCAACCGGGGCCGCATCCCGCACCCACAACTTCGGCCCCCGCCGACTGTGCTCTCCACAGCCACGCTCAAGACGCTAGTCGCACAGGACACAGACTTCTTGCTCCCCAGCGAGCTCACCCCGACCCAACGCTCCCCCTGCAGCCGGCTGCCCTGCTCCCCCAATTCCCGCCGCAGCCCTAGGCGGGTGGGCGTCAGAGCTGCTGGGACGGAACCTGGGTGCCCCCCATCCCGCAAGGCAGCCCGAGGGGTGGCCGGCCGAGCCAGTCCGCCACGCGCGCCCCCGGGAGCCGCACCAGAGGAGAAGTTCGGGGCTGGGCACCCCGGTGCCCGGACCACCCCGCCCGGACCGGGTGGGCGAGGCGCTCCGTACGTACCCGAGGAGGCAGCGGTCGCAGACGACTCCACGGCTCCCCTTGCTCACCGTGTACGCCAAGGGGTCCGAGCGGAAGAGCAGCTCCCCCGGGCGCAGCGGCGCCAGGGCGCGCAGCCCGTTGCCCCTGTCGGCGGTGCTGAACTTTTCCACCTTCGGCGGCTCCATCCCTCTGCAGCTCCGCACCTCAGACGGCGGCGCGTCCAGCAGCCGGATCCTCGCGGGCGGACGGGAGCCGCGCGCCTGCGCCCTACGCGCACGCGTACGCCGCGGGGCGGGGCTGGGCGGGGCGGAGCGGGGAGGCTTGGTTGCCCAGGTGATGGA